TGAGATTTTCCAGCAAAAAAGCCTGGGACCTTAGGTTGCTTCCTTAAACACACAGCCCATGAATTGATCGACTTCATTTAAACCCTGCCTTTCTCAACATTGGGGGAATGAAAGCGACTTCCTCTGTTCTCTTCTCCTCCATTTTATCCTTCCGATGACCCCATGAGGTTGCATAGGCTGGGAGTGTGTGACAGGCCCAAGGTCACCCAGCAAGCTTCCTTGACAGGCTGGGAGTCTGAACCTGGGTCTCCTAGATTGTAGGCCGACACTAACTACTACACTACACTGGCTCTCCGGTTGTCTAGACAGACACTTCATGTTTTCTAGATTCAGCAGGAGGCAGGGCTCTTTCTGTAGGAAAAGCCCAGCAGAAACTCATTAGCATAATAGGCCACACCCAACAGCAGAAACTCATTAGCATATTAGGCCACACCCCTGACAACACAGCTCATTAGCACATTAGGCCACACCCCCATGTTACCAGAAGTGTGGTCATCCAGCCACACCCACCTTTTGCTTCTTATTCTGTTTACCTTGTTATCAAAACCCAGGGCTTTTTTTGTAGCAGGAACCCCTTTGCATGTTAGGCCACACACCCCTAATGTAGCCAATCCTAATGAGTTTCTGCTGTTGGGTGTGGCCTATTATGCTAATGAGTTCCTGCTGGGCGTGGCCAACTCGGGAGCCAGCCGGAGCTCTGTTCCTGTGCGTTCCTGCCCAAAAATAGCCCTGGCAGGAGGTATGTCTGTTGTTGATTACCTTAGCTTCTAACAAAGAGGTTGGTTGATTTAGAACAGACCCAGATCAGTTTTTGTTGTTGTCAGCCTTAAAGATTTGATCAGTTGATCTCTAAGGTAACTTACCATTACAAAGGATCTACAGCTCCTGAAAACTAGAACATTGATAAAACATGACCGCTGTGGGAGTATGGTCTTTGACTGAGGGAGTGATGTGAATGAGGTAGGGCTGCCATCTCTGGGTTGGGAAATTCCTGGAATTCAGGGGCAAAGACTGGGGAAGGCATGGAGGTCAGTTTTAATTCTGGAAGATCTCCAGACCTCACCTGGAGGTTATGCAAAAGTATATAAAAAGGTAACAGTTCCCTTGCTCGAAAGCCAGTCGAATCCGACTCTAGGGTTGCGGTGCTCATCTCCGTTTCAAAGCCGAAGAGCCAGCACTGTCCGAAGACATTTCCGTGGTCATGTGGCCGGCATGACTAAACACCAAGGTGCACAAAACGCTGTTATATCTATAGCCCTATGTAATAGATGCATGTTTCAGGTAGATCAATTTTGTGCTTTCAATTTTTCTACACAATTATACAAATATTGGTTTCAAATATTATCAAAAATAGATTTCACCCAAACAGTACATCAAAGTGCAGGTTGACATTCTGATCAAACATCCGAACGGCACCTTGTCAGTTTCACAATCACTACTTCCAGGGGACTCTAGTCGTTTACCCATTTCGAATACAATCTTTTTCAAGGACCGTGATATATATAAAGGACATAAGATGCAATAGTTTCTCTTTGTGAGCACAAGACTCTTAAGATAGCAGCATATTTTCTAGGGTCCCATCAGAATCCTTGCAGCAAACTTAATAACCTATCTAGGATAGCATATCTCTCATAACACAACATAAGAGAAGCCAGTGTTGGATCAGGCCAATGGCCCATCCAGTCCAACACTCTGTCACACAGTGGCCAAAAATACCAGGTGCCATCAGGAGGTCCAGCAGTGGGGCCAGGACACTAGAAGCCCTCCCACTGTTGCCCCCCCGGGCATCAAGAATACAGAGCATCACTTGCCCCAGACTGAGAGTTCCTATCTATACCTTGTGGCTATAGCCACTGATGGACCTCTGCTCCATATCTAATTCCCTCTTCAAGCTGTCCATGCTTGTAGCTGCCGCCACCTCTTGTGGCAGTGAATTCCATGTGTTAATCACTCTTTGGGTAAAGAAGTACTTACTTTTATCTGTTCTAACCCAACTGCTCAGCAATTTCATTGACTGCCCACGAGTTCTTGTATTGTGAGAAAGGGAGAAAAGTACTTCTTTCTCAACCTGCTCTATCACGTGCATAATCTTATAGACCTTGATCATGTCACCCCTCAGCCGTCGTTTCTCCAAGCTAAAGCGCCCCAAGCGCTTTAACCTTTCTTCATAGGGAAAGTGTTCCAACCCTTTTATCATTAGAGTTGCCCTTTTATGCACTTTTACCAATGCTGTAATATCCTTTTTGAGATGTGGTGACCAGAACTGTACACAGTACTCCAAATGAGGTTGCACCATTGATTTATACAGGGGCATTATGATACTGGCTGATTTTTCAGTTCCCTTCCCAATTATCCCCAGCATAGCGTTGGCCTTTTTAATCGCAGTTGCACACTGTCTCGACATTTTCATTGAGTTATCTACTACGACTCCAAGATTTCTCTCTTCGTCAGTCTCTGCCAGTTCAGACCCCATCAATGTGTATTTACAGTTAGGATTTTTGGCTCCAATGTGTATCACTTTGAACCCCATTTGCCAAGTTGAGACCTGCTCACCCATCCTCAACAGATCCCTTTGGAGTGCTTCACAATCCTCCCTGGTTCTCACCACCCGGAACAACTTGGTGTCATCTGGAAATTTAGCCACTTCACTGTTTACTCCCAACTCCAAATCATTAATAAATAAGCTAAAAGCATCAGACCAAGTACTGATCCCTGTGGTACCCCACTGCTTACCACCCTCCACTGAGAAAATTTCCCATTTATGTTCACACTCTGTTTCCTATTAATTATCCAGTTTTTGATCCAGAAAAGGACTTGTCCTTTTATCCCGTGACAGCGCTGGCTCTTTGGCTTTGAAACGGAGATGAGCTCCGCAACCCTAGAGTCGGATTCGACTGGCTTTCGAGCAAGGGAACTTACTTTTTATTGAACTTACTTAGAAGCCTTTGATGAGGAACTTTATCAAAAGTTTTCTGGAAGTCAAGGTAAACAACATCTATTGGGTCCCCCTTGTCCACATGTTTGTTCACTCCCTCAAAAAACACTAACAGGTTAGTGAGACAAGATCTTTCCTTACAGAACCCTTGCTGAGTCTGCCTCGATAGTTTTTGTTCATCAATGTGCCTACTAATTCTTTCCTTAATTACAGTTTCCACCAACTTACCCGGTATCGACGTCAGACTGACTGGACTGTAATTTCCCGGATCTCCTCTGGAACCCTTTTTAAAGATGGGGGTGACATTAGCTACCCTCCAGTCCAGTTATCAGGTTCTATTAGGCAGCTGGTGCTGTTTGGATGCTTGAACATAATGTAAACCTGCACCCTGATGTACTGTTTGGTTGAAACCTATTTTTGATAAAATTTGACACCAATAATTATATAAGTATAGAAAAATAAAAAGCACAAGATTGATCTACCTTTAACATGCATCTGTTATACACTGTGCTATATACTTTTGCATATCTTCCTAACACTGTGACCCTCAGTTTTTCTATTTACCACCTGGAGGTTGGCAACTGAGACTAGTCTACAAAATTATGCATAGTGTAGAGAGAGTGGATAAAGAAAAACTTGCTGCCTCATCTGATCATCCTAGAACTCAGGGTCAGTCTGCCTGCTAGAAGGGTCAAGGGAGATAAAAAGAAGTTGTACTTTGCAGAAAGGGTAGCTGACTTGTGCAGCTCACAAAATGGGGCAAAAGCCACTGGCTTACATAGATTGAAAAAGGAGTTGGACATATTACTGGAGGATACACTTGTTGCTGGCTATTAGCCATGAAGGTTAAAGGGGACTTCTGGGCTCAGAGGAAGAATGCCTCTGTCAGATGCTGGGGAAGTCATCCGGTGAGGCTGTTGCCAGTTAGCCCTGCTCCTGGGTTACGCGGAGGCATCCACCTTCTTGACAACTACTGAAAATAGGATGCCCGCTGTTAAGATCAAGCAACTTGAACCTTTTTCTGGACACAGATCTTCCCATGAGATAATATTTACAGTAAAAGCAACTGAATTGCAACACCAGGGCTTATTTTTCTGAGGGAACCCGTCGGAACAGAGTCCCAGAACCTCTTCAACAAAATTCTTTTTTGAAACGTTAGAAGTTCGTGAGTTTTCAGTATAAAGACTGAAAACTTAATTTCCCTCTTGAGAGTTCTGGCAACTCTTAAAAAAAAGAAAAGAAAGCCCTGGACAAACCCTCACTTAAACATGCATTCCTGGAAGTAAAAACTGCACTCCAGAGAGCATAATCCCGAACCATACTTCCTGGGCAGGTTCTACAGAGTCCCCTGGATCTTCCAAATAAGAATCCAGCTAATACTTAAACTACTCTGAACAAAGCAGATTACCTTGTATAGGACTAGGTTACACATTCCACTGATACCCGTAGAACTGGAAAACGTCTAAAAAGAAGAGATTGGATTTATACCCTGCCCTTCATTACCCAAAGGAGTCTCAGAGCGGCTTACAAACTCCTTTCCCTTCCCCTCCCCACAACAGACACCCTGTGAGGCAGGTGGGGCTGAGAGAGCTCTGACAGAAACGGCTCTCTTTCAAGGACAGCTCTTATCAGAACTACGGCTTGCCCAAGGTCATCCAGCAGGTGCAAGTGGAGGAGTGGGGAATCAAACCCGGTTCTCCCAGAATAGAGTCCGCGCACTTAACCACTACACCAAACTGGCTCTAAACATTTCCCACTTCATTTCGCACGTCTCGAAAACAAGTTAGCTCTTTGGCTGAAATGCAGATTCTTCTCCAGCCCCGTCTTATATTGTGGCGGGGGGGGGAGGGGGCAAGACAGTCCTGCGGCGGTGAGGATGTGACGTGACTTGACCCAAGGGCGAGGGGGCTGCGCTCCGCAGGCTTGCAGCGGCGACGGCCAACCAGAGCCGACTTGCCGGAGTGAACCCGTCGACCATAGAGCCAGGGAACTCTAGACGTGCGTAATCCAGCCGTTATTTCCTCTATGGCTATATCACGTGACTTTCCTCTTCCGTCTCCGCGCGGGGGGTGGGGAGAAACCGGGTTGATTGTGCGCGTGCGCAGTGAACGCTTCCTTCTTTTCCTGCGGCCTGTAGCGGCGGCACGATGGTGAGTGCGGCTCCTGTCCCCTTTCCCCGTCACCGCGCGGGCGTATCCGCCGTAATCTTCCTCGGTGTTTATCTCAACTCTACCGGCACAGTTGGGGGCTGAAGCCGTGAGGTCTGAGCTGTTTGGAGAGTTGGCTATTGGGAGCCTCCAAGAGGCTGGGCCCGGATAAGGGCGCCGGGGCGGGACTCCGCGGCCATCGGCCTCTGGGCCTGCATGAGAGGCGCCTTTGAGGTGTGCGGGACGCGGGACCGCTGGGTGGTCCTGGAGGTTCAAACCTTGCCCCTGCCACGGATTCATTGGGCGGCCTTAGGGAATCTTGGTGCTTTAAGCCAGGCGACTGGCTGGTAGTTGCATTTGCAGTCTTCCCCCCAGGCCTTGATATCTTTGTATGAGGATCAGCCAAAATAACGACATCGGGTGTGTTTGAATTTTCCAGGACGCTTAACCCAAGAAAACAACGGCCGGGGGCAGGGATAGTAGCTAATTTGGTTTTAAGATCTCCTGCTTGGTTTTTGTGTAGAAGGCCCTGTAGAATTGAAGAGATTCCTGCAGTATGAGAACAATAACATTGCCTTCCTTGCAAGGTAATGCAAGGAGTGCTAGGTAAATGTCAAGTTATAATTATATTTTAAAACATTTGTATTCCATCTTTTTCCAAAGTGCTTCACACCACTAAATTTTTAGTCTTGAAGCAGTTTTCTCCTCCATTTTGAATGTGTTGCGGCTAAAGAACTGTGAGCTGGCTCACACTAACCCAGCTTAGAGGGAACACTGGCCGTGACAGTGTCATCTATTTTCTCTGGATTTTGTTTACAAACTGTCATCAGAACAGGCCAGTTCTTGATCAAAGTTAATTATATTCAATTTGGGGCCAGCCCAGGAGGGAGGGTGCCCGGAAGAAATCCTAGGGGGCTAGACCCTGCATTAGCCTCACGCTACATAATTCTGTAGCCTCGTGCTATATATTTAAAAAGGAATCCTTATTTCATGATGAATAACCTTTGGACGATAAAATAGAGAACTAGATAGATTTTTCCTCAAAAAGCATTTTATTTAAAAATCCAATTAAAAATGTTAAAATAATGATTTAAAAAAAAATCATTTTGATTTTTATCCGTCTTGTTATCCGTCTTGCTTCAGGTTTTGATTGTTGCCTGTATTTTAAACATTGGTAGCAAAGGGTGCAAGAATCATACCTGAGGGACATTTTAAAAGCTGACGGAATCTTTTCACTAGTAAATGTCACTTCTGTTGTCTGAAGTAATTGGGTAAAGACTTTGCAGCTGGCTTTGCTTGCTTCATTCCTTACCTCTTCCCTCCCCTTTCTCAGATTCTTATTCTATGGTTATTCTATGCTTAATCTAATGAAGTCTTGTAATGAGGGACATTGTATAGTTCTTATAAGTAATCAGTAAGTTATTGGACTGCCTTTCCTCAGTTGAGAACCTGGGAAATGTCTCCAAATATGCTGCAGGCAGAATTTTCAGCAGTCTGTTGTGAATTTGTGGGGTTCTCCAGCGATAAAATAGGTGCCATCTTGTTTTGCCAGTATTGCTCAGTAAGCTTTATGATTCTATTTGAATAGTTAGGAGTCCTTAGGAGTCCTATTTTAGTGACATCTGGCCAGCCAAAACTTTGCCCTCTTGTGGGTTTCCCTGGCAGTAGCATATCAAATTTTATGATAAAGGGGGAAGTTCTTGGGTCTGCGTCGGATGGGGATGCCAACTCCAGATTGGGAAATTCCTGAGATTTGGGAGTGGAGTCTGGGGAGGGGAAGGGAGTGATTCCATAGTCCATCCTCTGAATCAGCTTTTTTCCCCCTCCAGGAGAACTGATCTTTGTAGACAGACAACCTTTATTGGCACGTAAGAGATTAACATTAAAATTTAGGAATACGTCAAAGGTAATGGCTGTCGAACAGCCAACAAAAAAGAACTGATCAATTCATAGTTTCCCTGGTTTGAATTACAGATTGACAAAAACAAGCAACATTAAAAGTTATAGAAGCGTTTTGCCCAGAGTGTAGCAACTGGACCTTAATACTCTCAGGAAGACCACGCCATGTAAAAAGAGGGGTGTCCAGAAATTGTCCTCGAATCTTAGTATAAAATGGACAATTTAAAAGAACATGGGAAACGGATTCAATAGCACCCTGACCGCAGGGGCATGGCCCTTAGGCTGATATTTGTAGTCTGAAGATAAACTGTAATTCTGGGAGATCTCCAGGCATCACCTGGAGGTTGGCTACACTTATATATGGGGCTGCTTCACTTTGCAGATATTGGGGTTATTCAATGACACCTCTTTGTGGGGCTTAGAGAGGGTTACAGAATAGTGTATAATAGTGCCACCCGGGGCTAAAAGGGATTGCATAAAGATACTAGTTGGCATAGCGGATAGTTTTCCAGACCCAAACTGAAGAGATCTGAAGCTGTGAAACTGTGGATGACCTGGGTCCTCTGCTATCTGTTGGCTTAACAGACCTCACTGGTTTATTGTGAATATGAAATGAGATACCCTGTGCACTGTCCTGAAACTTTGGAAGAATGCAGAATAAAAATGTGCTAAAGTATCATAATAAACTAATTCAGAGATTGAAAGTTAATTTTCAGAATACTTTTCTCCAATACTTAAATTCTTTGGGGGTCACCAAATGGAGAAAATGTGGCAGAACTTCGAAAGAGGCCAGCTCACTGTGAATTCCATAGCCATTGTGCTTTGGGTATTGTGGTTAAAATAGCTTATCCAAATGGGTCATAGCAGTACCCGGCATGCATTTATCTCCTTTAAATATGTTGGATTTAAAGTGCTTTCATCGGGGAGGAGGTTAGTCCCGCTTGCTGGCTTTAGCTTGGAATTGTATTATACGTATACTTGAGCACAAGTCACATTGTGCTCAGTGGAGTTTGCCTATATCCAAGCTGTTTTAAACTCTTCCCTTCACAAGATCCAGATATGTGTTAAGTTCCTTAATGGCTGAAGTATGTGGTCATAGGTTGCCTAATGTAGGTAAGTTCCTAAAAGTTAAAATTAAAAGTTCTTTGTTATCTTACTGTCATCACAGAGAAGGTGGCTAAGTTTCTCTGCTTGGCTTTAAATCTGCGCCAAAGGTTCTTTTAGAATTATATATATGAGTTTTAACTGGCTTTAAATGTATAAATGGTACTGATAATTTATGCCAATAAAGGCTGACTTGACTTGACTTGTTATCTTACTGTAATAGGCCAAGCGCACCAAGAAAGTTGGCATTGTGGGTAAATATGGTACCCGATATGGCGCTTCCCTGAGGAAGATGGTAAAGAAGATTGAAATTAGCCAGCATGCCAAGTATACCTGCTCCTTCTGTGGCAAGGTAAGAACCTCCTTTGCTTCTAGAAATCTTTGCAGGAGGTGTCCTTTTCTGTTCAGAGTTGCTTTGCATGCACATCTCCTTTAGCATTCAGTGGTTCTGTGCATTTTGATGCTGTGGGGTCAGGGTGACTGTTTTACTTCTCTGTGTTTTAATCTTTGCAGGATGGCTGCACATCTGCATCACTGGGTTAGCACAGGATTGACAATTTAATTTTTAGTGAAACTAAGGTAAAGGTTTCCCTTGCTCGAAAGCCAGTCGAATCCAAGTCTAGGGAATGGTGCCAACCTAGCAGTTCGAAATCACTTCGTTTATCGACACAAAATCCAAGGAATGTATATTACTGTTGGTGCTTGTAATATTGTACTCACCAAGAGCACTTGCTAGCGAATGCACTACCACAGGACTTATCCACGAATACCTGTGCTTCATTATTATTATTAATAGTATGTTGGTTGTGATTTTGTGATTTTATTCGATTTTATGAATTTTATGTACGGGCTTGTGCCTTTGTAAGCTGCCCTGAGCCCGCCTTGCGGGGTAGGGCGGGGTAGAAATACCTGAATAAATAAATAAATAAATTATAGTATCGTGGAGTACACTTTCAGAACCAAAGTAGCCAAGTATCGTGTGAACAAAAAAAACCCCAACCAAATGCCAGTTATGTGCCAAAGAAAAAGTAAGGATGTTCTTTGGTGCCATATCCTTGTAGGAAATTGAGAAAGAGTCCAGGAGCTTTCATGAGTCCCTGCCAATGCTCCTTTAAGCTGTGGGGTTTTGTGAGCAAAATTTTTACTTTGTGCTGGTATTAAAGTTGTGAGTGAGCGATAGGGCTACTTGCATTAAAGCTTTGAGCGAGCGATTTGGCTGCTGCATAGGTCAGTCTGCTCTGGAACCATCCTTCCTGAGCTGAGACAAAAATGTGTGAGCCGGAGGCAAAAAAGCTGTGAGCTAGCTCACAATAACTCAGCTTAGAGGGAACACTGGCTACTGCATAAATTAATTTACTGCCAGAATTCCAGTTAACCATTTTACTTCTTCCTTTGGTGCGTAATTATCTGCTCAAGCAGGTGGTAACGATTTTAGCATATCTGCTTCAAAGTTGGTGTAACAGTGTTGTTTCTGCCCCATTTTTTGTGGGCTTTATAATTTATTTAATTTACTTAGGCACTTCTTGTCCTACTGTTTTTCCAGTGGGGGGAATAAAAGTGTAGTAAAATGGAAAAGGGCAGTAAAGATTATAAAGACCATCCATACAAAGAGACGTCTAATATACGCTATAAAGCAAAGCATTATCACTGTTATCGTCTTATCTGTGTAATCCGTTTTGAGTCTAAGTGAGGAAGGTGGCGTTTTAAATGCAGTAAAAGTAAATATGGCCATCTTTTCTGTAGATAATAGAAGGGACCTAATCTGAAAGATGACGTTTCTTATTGGTTCACTTTGTAGATGTCAGCTTCATAAGCTATTACTATGGAAATGGGCATACAACCCTGCTTAGCCGTTGCTACTATGGCTGGTTCCCTCGTTTGTCTTGTATAGCTTCCTGGGCTGGGCTTAGAGCAGTTTTGTCATGTGCTTACGATATAAGGACTGTGGTGGCTCAAGTGGTTAAGACGCTGAACTGCAGACCTGAAGGTCGGTAGTTCGGCAGTTCGAGACCCGAGTGTGCCGCATGACGGAGTGAGCTCTCGTCTCTGGTCCCAGCTCCTGCCAGCCTTGCAGTTCAAAAGCAAGAAATTGCAAGTAGATAAATAGGTACCACTTCAGTGGGAAGGTTACAGCGTTCTGTGCACCTCGGCGTTTAGTCATGCCGGCCACATGACCACGGAAATGTCTTCGGACAGCGCTGGTTCTTCGGCTTGGAAACAGAGATGAGCACCGCATCCCTAGAGTCGGATTCGACTGGCTTTCGAGCAAGGGAAGCCTTTACCTACAATATAAAGAACTGCTTTGTATTTGTGGTGCTGGTCATGCATTGATTCATGAGGTATGTGTCCCCTGTGTTCCTGCCTGGGAATTAAGATCACGGGAGAGGCCCTCCTGACTGTCCTACTCATCAAAGAAGCTTGTCTGGTGGGCATATGGGAGAGTACCTTTTTGACAGCAGCCTCCCAATTGTAGAACAGCCTCTCCAGGGGGGGGGCCCGCCCCCCCCCCCCCCACGCGGGTGGCCATCAGGTGCTGCTTCAAATGCAAATGAGCCCGTCAGGACAGCATTTAACTAATTTAGCTTTTGATTGGCAATCTTGATGGAGATTTTAAACTGTCCTTTTTATGTGTTTTATAGCTTGTTTTATTTACTTTGTACAGGGAAGACGTTGGCAAACCTTGACTGCCGCAAGGAAAGGAAGGCGGCCAATAAATGTTTAAAAGAAATAAAGTTGTGAATGTGGACTATGTGATTTTAATTTTTGACGCTGCCTTGATGGGTCACATATAAGATGCTGGGAAAGTGATGTGGTTGATGTTCTCAGGTGAATAAGCAATATATCTTTCTCATAGACCAAAATGAAGAGGAAAGCTGTGGGTATCTGGCATTGTGGCTCTTGTATGAAAACGGTGGCTGGTGGTGCCTGGACATACAAGTAAGGAGCATTACCAGTGTGGCATTGTGGTGGGGGTTGGGCCGCCTTATTGTCTGATGGTGGTTTTTTGGTGTAATCCAGCTTCTTGATGATCTCATGATGGATGTTTTCTCCCCAAATTTCCAATCATGTGGGTACGAAGAAAGATCTGAAAATCAGTCTAACTGATGCTTGTGGAAGGAAAGGGGAGGTAGAGGAAACAGAGCTTCCATATCTTTTCCGTAGATCTCTAAATGCTTCTGCTCCCTTCTCTTCTGTTTCCATCTTTGTCAAAATTAAAATGCTTGCAGACCTTGCAAAGAACATAAGATAAGCCAATGTTGGATCAGGCCAATGGCCCACAGTGGCCAAAAATACCAGGTGCCATCAGGAGGTCCAGCAGTGGGGCCATGACACTAGAAGCCCTCCCCCTGTCGACCCCCAAAGCACCAAGAATACAGTGCATTGCCTGCCCCAGCCTGTGACTTCCTATCTATATCTTGTGGCTAATAGCCATTGATGGACCTCTGCTCTGTATGTTTATCCAGTTCCCTCTTGAAGCTGTCCACGCTTGTAGCCGCCACCACCTTTTTGGCAGTGAATTCCATGTGTTAATCACTCTTTGGGTGAAGAAGTACTTCCTTTTATCTGTTCTAACCTGACCGCTCAGCAATTTCATGGAGTGCCCATGAGTTCTTGTATTGTGAGAAAGGTAGAAAAGTACTTCTTTCTCGACCTGCTCTATCCCATGCATGATTTTATAAACCTCGATCATGTCACCCCTCAGCCATTGTTTCTCCAAGCTAAAGAGCCCCAAGCCCTTTAACCTTTCTTCATAGATAAAGTGTTCCAACCCTTTTATCATTCTAGTTGCCTTTTTCTGCACTATTTTTTTCCTTGGTGATTCCTTGGTACTGTTCAGAGATCATTGAAGACTGTCAGGGGCAGGAGAGGCTAATGCCAGGTACTTCTTCACTGTTCCTGGAATTCCTTCTGTTTGAGTGTCCTCCCTACAGCTTGCAGAAGTCATCTGTGAAGCCGGGGGGGGGGGGCAGCCAGACACTGTCCACCGTTTTCCAGCAGAATCCCACTCCTACCACTAACTGCAGCATCAGAGAGCATTGTTTAACTGCTGTAAACTCCCAAGTTTTGGCTGAAGGTAGGGTACAAATAAAAAAACCCCTTGCATGCAGATTAAGTTAATGTATGCACATTTTTAGCAGTTCCATCAACATTTTCAGTAAAAGCATGTGTGCTGGATTGGACAAAAAAAATTACTTCAAATATGCACAGATTGCTAAGTAAGGAAGAAACTCTTAATATCAGCTATGAAAAGACAACGGTAATGGTTTTTAGGGAAACGACAAAACTGTTCTCCTGGAGTATTCACGGCAATCCAATCAATCAGTGCAGTTCCTTTAAATATCTTGGTGTTACATTCAGAGAGACCTTAACCTGGAATGCCCATTTGGCTAGAGTAAAATCTTCAGTGCTAAGAACGGTGGGGTCTGTTTTGAGTTTCTGTTACTCAAAGGGCGGATGTCTTATTGATCCAGTCTTGAAATTATTTCAGAGCAAAGTCGTTCCTCATTTCCTTTATGGAGTTGAAGTTTGGGGATGGAAAGAGGAAAACCTATCTAGTATTGAAGTAATTCAGAACGAGTTCTTAAGACCTATTCTAGCTCTCCCCAGGGGGTCTCCAGGCAGCCTTGATGTGAGCGGAATCTGGCATTCCCTCCCTTCGGGCGCATTCAGCCATGATAAAATATTGGTTGATAAAAGTTTTAGACATAAATCACTTAGTTAACAATCCTTTAATATTTTGATGTCCAACGATTCGTAGAGCTCTACTTTCCTTAATGGTGTTCTCTTAAGGTATTTTATCCCTTGCGATCTCATAGGGTCTCCTGCTGTCCACCCGAGAGATGTGAAGGCCTGGAAAAAAAACTGGCAAAATTTGGGGAAAAAACCATTTTTTCCCTTTGTTTTTTTCCTGGAGCCTTTTTTGTTTTTTCCCGAAAAAATTGGGAAAATTGAAAAAAGAATAGAAATTGATTATGGAACATTTTATTTTAACATGATGAATAAAATATTTTAAGACAAGGTGGGTCAAATATTTTCCAAATCATTTCTAAAAAATATGTATGGTATCAGATTGATCTAATTTCTGTGCACTGAGGACAAGCAAGTCCTAGGTTACAAACTGAACTCTCCAATGCAAGAACAAGATGCATTTCTCCCTTTAGGAGGTGCTATTGTCACAAGAAAAGAAAAAGGTTTCAGTTTTGTTTTTGTATGTGGGTGGGTATTCTGTTTGTAATAATTGTTTGGATACACTATATTTTAATATTCAAGTTGTGATAATTTCGTGCCAAGTAAAAATGTCCATAGTCGTATTTTATGTTCCTAAAGTAACAGAATGACTTTCAATCTGGAAAAGAAAAAAAAAAAGGGCTAAGAAATATTTTTTTCAATTTTTCAGAAAATTTCCATTTCCCCCCAGAAAAAAAATGGGTTTTTTTCCGTGCTTCAAAATTTCTGGAAATTTTGCATTTCTAGTCCACTAGATTTAGGGATTGGGTTTTTAACTCTGATGCATTGATTGATCAGTCTCTAATTTTAAACTCCGAAGTGGTTCAAAATTATTAAACTTGACCACTTTTGAACTTCCAATCTTGTTAACATTTCTAACCATAATCTTAGAGCATCCTTTATTGCAATTTCAATCTATGCCCTTGGTGATGTTGTATGGTCGTTATTCTCACATTCCAATGGCCCATGTATATGTGGATCTCACACATTAGAGGATTTACCTCGTTATATCCAGTTCTGCCTTTTATATTCTAACCCTAGGTCTGCATTTTTGGTGGGACTTTTATCCAGCTTAACCTTGTATAACGATGCTGAGGAAATCATAGTTTTGCTTTCTGATTCTGATGCACATGTTACATATAGAGTCTCACTTGTTGCCATTGCTGCTATGAAGATAAGGTCTAACGCGGCAAAGAACGAAGGTGCTACTTGAACTTGTTGCCAGTATATTGAATTTTGGTACTAGCTTTTGCTTTAGTGGAATTCTCTTTGTGTATCTGTAAATTTGTTCGGTATATATAATCTTTATTTTATCCAGTTGAGGTTTCTGTAACTTTGTGATTGCCTATGCTAAACAACATAAATTGATTGATTGCGAAGTTTGTCTCTTTTAACAATGATACTTCTGTTTCTTCCAGCACTACTTCAGCGGTGACAGTGAAATCTGCCATCCGAAGATTGAAGGAGTTAAAAGACCAGTAGAAACCTCTTTTTCTCTCCTAATGTTGTCTTATGTTCCTCCTCCAGTTTCTCAGTCCATTATGCCTTTTTGTTAATTAAAGGTGGTTGTGAATCTGGATTCTGTTTCTGTTTTATGTACAAGTGTTTAATTGTACAGCATTTCCATTTTTTCATTAATTGCTAAAAAACTCCAAAACAGGATCTGGGTTGGGTTTTGTGGCATCTGAAGAATATAGCAGTTTCCAGCAATCTTTCATCGTTTAGAGAATGTCTTCTGTGATTTTTTTCCACATCAGCAAACCACAGGAGATTGTACATAATATATGTATCATTCCAAATCATAACCAACAAGCTGGGACCCACAAGAAGTTTTCAAGGAATGGGATATACCACCCACCTTTGCTTCCTTCCCAGTTTGGTGTAGTGGTTAAGTGCGCGGACTCTAATATGGGAGAATCGGGTTTGATTCCCCACTCCTCCACTTGTAACTGGCTGGATAACCTTGGACAAGCCATAGCTCTGATAAGAGCTGTCCTTGAAAACAGCAGTTTTTGTCAAGAGCTCTCTCAGCCCCACCTACCTCACAGGATGTCTGTTTTTTGGGGGGGGAAGTGAAAGGGGTTTGTAAGCCGCTCTGAGACACCTTAGGTAGTGAAGGGTGGGATATAAATCCAATCTCCTCTTCTTCCCCTCCCTCCTTCTCTGCCAGTGTTTCCCCCTCTTTTCCTGCCCCCATCCCTTCTCGGACAGTTTTGAGACAGTTAACCCCTTTCTCCCCCGACCTTTTCTCAGCCGATATCCACCACCACCACCAACGGTGGCTGCCTGGTCATTGGGATTTGCATCTGCAGAGAGGCTGCATGTAGGCTGACATTATCTAGTAGGCAATCTATGTGTGCACAGGCAACACTTTTGTTTTAAGGAGGAGGATTTAAACCTCTTCAATGTAGGTTTTTAAGTTTTCAGATTTTTTTTCAAACCCGTGAAGGGGTCTGCAAACCTGCAGAACTGTTGGTTTTCTATCAGTGTGGTCCTGGTCCATGGATTTAGGTATCTGCAAGCCCACACATGACTATTAGAATATAAAATTTATGCGGTATATAGTCCATGGGGCTGCCACGAGCTTTGGATCAGACAGTTTCAAGGAGTATTCCACTGGGAATGCTGGTGCAGAGGGGAGCAACAAAGATGATCGGGGGCCTGGAGACGCCCTGTGAGGAAAGGCCGAGGGACATGGGAATGTTTAGTCTGGAGAAGACGAGGCTGAGGGGGGACATGATTGCTCTCTCTACGTATTTGAACGGCTGTCACTTAGAGGAGGGCAACAAAGTATAGGACTTAAATTAAAGGCAGGAAGGTACCGGCTGGATATTAGGAAAAACGTCTTTACAGAGAGTTGTGCAACAGTGGAATCAGCTGCCGAGGGAGGTGGTGAGCTCCCCCTCACTGGCAGTCTTGAAGCAGTGGCTGGTCAAACACTTGTCAGGGGTGCCCTAGAGTCTAGGCTGATCCTGCATTGAGCAAGGGGTTGGACTAGATGGTCTGTATGTCCCCTTTGAACTGTGATTCTATGATTCTATCAGAATGGATCGGGAACATAATTTTCAGGCATCCATGAGGCCAGTTTGGTGTAGTGGTTAGTGTCAGGTTCCACAGCAAGTAACTCTTCACACACGTTTCCTGAGAAGCGTTATGCTTTATTTATTTATTTCTACCCCACTCGAACCCCTCCCATGGGTCTCTGAGCGGCTTACATAGTTTGTATTATCCCTATCTATGGGCAGAGTACAAAACCGGTACCTTATCCACAGGATTATTGTTAGAAATAACTATAGGGCGGGAACATCCATACATATAGCCAGATGAGGCGAATAGCTAAGCAAATGAACTTCAAGCGCGAACGCAGGAATTCTCCCGGCGGGAAGTTACATAATGAGCAGGAGACTCGCAGGGCCCCTGAGAGCAGAAAGATTCACACCAGTGGTGGACCGCAAGCCCTCCCATCCTTACAAGGCCAGACTGATAACGCCGTCTAGCTGAGCCAGCTCCCACGGTCTCCGAGGCAATGTCTACGCAAAGCTGCTGAGCTGCGAGCAAGCGGGAACGGGAGGACAGAAGCAACGTAAAATGGCAGCTAGCTGACATCCTCCCCCCTCAAAAATACATCAACCCCCTCCCACAGCCGACAGGCGACCGCCTGGTTTCCCTGGGAACTGAGTGTGAAATTTGCG